TAGGATGCTTTTTAGAAAGGTTTTAAAAAGCTTTTAAGAATCTAATTGAATCATTAAAAGGGTATCTATTGAATGTTTTAAAAGTCCCTACGAAAATTCTTAGCAATAAGGGAAGGTTCTAAGAATATTCCATTATTCCGGGTCATATCTTCTTAGAAGATTCTTGAAATCAAATTTTGCTATCAGGGTTTCGACGCCCTAACCAAAGGTATTTTCAGTGTAATTTCTCCCATACAACATTATTTGGAGGAGGATCTCTGATGGTCTGGGGGTATTTCTTTGACTGGTCGCACGGAACTTGTCATCGTAAATGGTAGCCTTACAGCTGAAAGGTACATACTGGAGGTGTTAGACCAAAATGTATTGCCATATGCACCATATATACGGCAAGGATTTTTGTTGATGCAAGATAATGCCACGCCTCACGTTGTGAGAAATTATCTAGAGGAAGTCGAAATCGCTACTATGGCATGGCCAGCTCGGAGCCCGGACTTAAATCCCATAGAGAATCTTTGGGACACTCTTGGGAGGAGATTACAAGAGGAACGCAACGTGAACACTTTGGAAGACTTACGGCAAAGACTTATTCTAATATGAGAAGAACTGGACCAAAATGACATAAGATCTCTAATTTTAAGTATGGGCTGTCGTTGTCAAGAAGTTATTCGTGCCAGAGGTGGAAATACTCGTTACTGACACTTTCGTTTCAATTGGTTTGTTAAATTTTGTATCGTTTTTTCTTGTTAATAATTTGCAATAAAATCATGTTATCCTATAAAATGTTGTTAATCGTGGAAGATAATGGAGTAAATAAAAAAACAAACGCTGTGTCTAGTCTCACGCTAGCGTGAACGCAATTTTATTCTTATTCTCACGCTAACGTGAACGCAATTTAATTTTTATTCTCACGTCAAAATAATTTTAATTTTATTTTCACGCTAACTTCGTATATATAAATACAGCCTTTTGGTTTTTGGTTAAACCTAAGGCTGCCAACTTTGCCCTGGGGCCGTTTTAGACATCTACTGAGGGGGGGCGAAAATAGAAAAAGCCCATGTGTATGTACATAATTCTGCCAGCATTATTTTATTTAATTTTACTTTTTAGGTGTCGTGTCATTTGATTTGATTATTATTTGATTATGTAAATGTAATAAAATTTACTAATAATAAAATCGAGACTCTTTTACTGCAGCCAAACCAACCCAAACTCAACAACACAACCCAACCGACCCCACCCCATTGGGTCCCCCCCGCCCCATTGAGCAAAAAACCCAACTAAAATGGGCAAAATGAACGATTTTCCAATAGTTAGTTTTAACTCATCATTATTATTGTTTTTGTCCATGGCAATACATTTTACGTACACTTGTAACAGGGCAGATTTCACAAATCGGCGAAAATTAGATTCACAGAACAAATTAGATTCTTGAAAGAATCTAAGTTATGTTACCTTTAGTGACGTCACCGCTTGAGAATAAGAATAAAATTGCGTTCACGCTAGCGTGAGACTAGACACAGCGAAAAACAAAATGTAAAAAAAGATAAGGCTAAAGTTTGATTTTAATGCTAACTTGATATAGCTATTTAACTCTACAGGGTGTTACAAATTTTATGAAAAAAAACAAGCTAAAATTGCTACACCCGGTATTTGTAAAAAAGAGGTTTCTATCGGAATTCAGTTATTATACCAACATTGTAAAACAAATCGGACAATTGGTTTTGAAAAAAATTTACTTAAAACTTTTGTTTATTTTTTAGTGATGCGTTAATTTTCTGGAGAAGTGTATATATGTATAGTACATTATATACATATATGGGGAATTCCACGTGAATTCGACACAAAAAAAACCCTTGCCATTTCGAAATTTCTTGGCAATTTTTTCATGGTTTCTCTGACTCAAAATATAAATTCAATTTTAATTTTAGCACGGTTTATCAATTGTTTTTGGAGATATAATTTTTAAAATTTTCATGATTATAACGATTTTTCCAATATGTCATCGATCATAAGTTTTTTCTTTTCTTGAAACAAGTTATTTGAAATAAATATTTTTGATGCTGTGGCATATCGGCTCACTATGATTTTTTTCTTCGAAAACTAAAAATCCATTTTCTACACGAACCCCATGGAAAAATTGCCGAGGAATTTCTAAATGGCAAGGGTTTTTTTCGTGTTGAATTCACTTGGAATTCCCCATATAATATATGGGGCAAAATTTGCCAAGTGTACCAGGTGAAAAAATTTTTGTCACCGATTTTGTTTAAACTTTATTTATTTATTGTTCTTATAACGAAGAATCATAGCATAAAATTTTTTTGCTCTAGGATTGTTCATTCAAGAGTTATGGATTATTGAAATTTATCGATTTATTACTTTTTGGTGAAATCGCTTTTTATTTAAAAATTCATAACTTCTGTTCATCTCTTTATTAAATATTTCAATTTAACCACCTTAAATGATTTTTTTCGTACTTTTCAATGGGCTATACCGTTTTTGCAACAAAAAAAAAATTGCAATTTTTTTTGTAGTTTTGCAAAATTTTGCATTTTTTGAAACAATGTGTATTTTTTAATTTTTTTTAAAATAGCATAAAATCGAAGTTTATTATGTTACCTTTGAATAAAAAAAAAATTTAGAGTGGGCCCGACATGTAGAAGGGAAGTTTTTCATATTTGAATGCCGCACGGTCTAGCCATCGAATAGCTACTACACTGCCGTATGCGTTTATACAGGTATAGTAGATGCGAGTAAACGAATACAAAATGATAATTTATGTAAAATTATGTTTGAGTAGTCAATAATGTATTTTAAATATTTACACTGCCGCGCGATATAGTTTTTTTATTGTGTATTAGTCCTTCGGAGGGGACTTTAAGCCCGCGGTCCGTTCCTACACCTAACCCGTACAAGCCATTCAGTTGGCTTATGGGACTTCTTAAGAAGTAAGTTTTTCATATTTGAATGCCGCACGGTCTAGCCATCGAATAGCTACTACACTGCCGTATGCGTTTATACAGGTATAGTAGATGCGAGTAAACGAATACAAAATGATAATTTATGTAAAATTATGTTTGAGTAGTCAATAATGTATTTTAAATATTTACACTGCCGCGCGATATAGTTTTTTTATTGTGTATTAGTCCTTCGGAGGGGACTTTAAGCCCGCGGTCCGTTCCTACACCTAACCCGTACAAGCCATTCAGTTGGCTTATGGGACTTCTTAAGAAGTAAGGGTGGAACTAAAAGAGCACTTTTGTATATAAACTGTATTTTTTTGCACAAATTGTTTAAGCATGGATCTACATAGAATTTCGCAAGGAGGGTCGATGATATTAAATAAAAAAATTATTGTTATAACCGTAACGGCTTGCCTATAAGCTGAATAGGCGCCACTCAGCTTATAGGCAAACCGTTACGGTTATAACAATAATTTTTTTATTTAATATCATCGATCCTCCGCGAAATCTATGTAGACACATGCTTAAACAATTTGTGCAAAAAAATACAGTTAAAAAACTATATCGTGCGGCAGTGTAAATATTTAAAATACATCATTGACTACTCAAACATAATTTTACATTTTAAATTATCATTTTGTATTCGTTTACTAGCATCTACTAGGTATAAACGCATACGGCAGTGTAGTAGCTATTCGATGGCTAGACCCGCACGCATTCAAATATGAAAAACTTCCCTTCTACATGTCGGGCCCACTCTAAAATTTTTTTTTATTCAAAGGTAACATAATAAACTTTGATTTTATGCTATTTAAAAAAAAAATAAAAAATACACATTGTCTCAAAAAATGCAAAATTTTGCAAAATTTCAAAAAAAAAATTGCAATTTTTTTTTGTTGCAAAAACGGTATAGCCCATTGAAAAGTACGGACAAAATCATTTAAGGTGGTTAAATTGAAATATTTAATAAAGAGATGAACTGAAGTTATGAATTTTTAAATAAAAAGCGATTTCACCAAAAAGTAAAAAATCGATAAATTTCAATAATCCATAACTCTTGAATAAACAATCCTAGAGCAAAAAATTTTTATGCTATGATTCTTCGTTATAAGAACAACAAATAAGGAAAGTTTAAACAAAATCGTTGACAAAATTTTTTTCACCTGGTACACTTGGCAAATTTTGCCCCATATGTATATAAACTGTTCGTCATAAAAATCGACGCACCTAGTTTTTTGGAAAATATTTAAAAGCTCGTTATTGGAAAATTACTGAATCGATTTTAAAAATCTGGAAATTCTGAATAGCTGCTCAACTGCCCTGTGAATGGGGATTTGAAATTTTGTGCACAATATCTTATTTTCAAAATTAGACGGAAGTCAAAGAATCCACTATTGCTCATTTTTTGGACTAAACTGGGAAATAACGACAATTTTCGAAAAATTGGCATATAATCGTAGTAAGCCGCGATATTTACAAAATCTCGAAAACGTTTCGAGGGATTACCTTACTTATATTAGGGAGGGGTATTACGACTATCAAACTCAACTGCCTCATGAATGGGAATAACTCGAAATTTCGGAAAAAATACATCTCTTCGTTTAACACCCTGTAGTATAATGCTATGTGCAAATATTTTCCAAAAAACTAGGTGCGTCGATTTTTATGACGAGCAGTTTATATATATAGGATGTTTTCTATATATAGTTTTTGAACTAGGTTTCCCATTCCTTTAATTTAGTTTTTGTATAAGTTTATTATTAACCAAATCTACAAGCTTCCAACTAATATTACAAATTTATAAAATTAAATACAACCCTACAAATTATTTTTCTTACCAATATCCCCAAAAATCCTTAAGACTCGAAGAATAAGCTCTTAAATCTGCAAAATTTAATTCTCTAATTGTACATATAATGTTGAAATTAATTTATCGATTTTAATGTCTTTTTTTAATGGTTACGTGCAGAGCTGCTTTGTTTAAGGAACGTTTAAAAGCACGAATTTTTGTTTAGGTTTTTCGTTTATTGTAACACTCACATCTGACCACTTACTCCTCCTTCTTAAGTTCCTTCGTGGGCGACGAGGTTGGGGTGCTGTTATTCAGGATTTCTTCCACCTTTTCTTCTGTTTTGGCAACACTGTCTCCTAACATGTCAAAGGACTGGTCGATTTCTTCGATTTTCAGGTTCATTTCGTTCTTTAATTCCGTACACTATAAAAAAGTTGCTTAACAAACAAAATGTGTAAACTTGTTATGACACAGTTTAACACGATTTCCCTCCCATGAATAATTTTAACAGATCTTAAAAATAAATGTTAAAAAAACGTATATGTGTCTAACCGTTGCACGAAATAACGTCATTTATGTTTTTAATACGGCCATTCTTATTATTTTAACCTATACAGATTTTCCCATTCCCCATTTTGTTATAATTCTTTTCTTTTTCTGTTTTTACATAGTACAAAAATTATAGTTAAAGAAAATAATAATATTATTATTTTTTAAATTAAAAAAATAATTTCGGTTTTTAATTTTTATTTTTTTTTTGTGTCAAGAAACCTGTGACGGGTACCCGCGGGTGAGTTGACGGTACTACGTAATCTGTCATTATTCAAAATTTAATTGCGTCAAGTTTTCAGTTTGTTATAAACAATTTGTTGACTAATAGAATAGAAAAGCAGTCAGTGAATTATAAAAAAACATTGACAAGCCAAACATTTTAAAAATTTTAAAGTAATACAAAAAGTATTTGCTAATTTTGAAAAAAAAATCAACTAAGCTGTAGGATGTCAACTAGATGAAGCACTAGCTCATTGGAGACAATAAAATATAAAATTTATTTTATAAAATTTTTTATAATAAAAATAATGCGTAACTGTAACAATTTAATAAACCAAAAATATTTTAATTAACAATTTTTATTACTAAATGTTCAAAGTGTCCTTCATTTACATATATGTATACAAGCATTTCTTAATTCTTACTTCCACATTAGACGTTGCTTTTCTTGACTATTCTGGGTCTAATATTATAATATAGAAATTGTTAAGTAAATCTCTTAAATTATTAAATTAATGTATAGGTACAATCCACAATTATGGGTACCTATTGGAAATAGTTCCATTATTTTTAATTTTCTATTTGATTATGTAAAAACATACACCCTGTTACATTTAAAATAAAAAAGTTATTAACGTTTCAAGTTAGCCTAATTTTCCCTGCGTTTTCTTGGGTAATTTGTTGAAAACTGTTAAAGAATTGACATGGACTCTTTTAAACAATGTTTTAAGATTTCAAAAATTCCACCCCTATTTCCGCAAACCTAATAGCAAAAAAGTTACAGGATATTTTTTATTGACGCGCATTTGTCAAACTGTCAAATTTCAATGAAAAAAATTAATAACTCGAAAACTATTTACTTTAGTTATAGGAGATGGTATAGTAATTTACAGAACTAAAGAATTTAAAAAATAAAATCGAAATCTTTTGCCGTTCCCCGGAAACTTACAATGGACCACGAACGTCAAACACTCTGTATTTCGGAAATGTTTCACACCTTGTATATAATTAAAATAATTTTAAAATGTAGCTTTAATGGTTGTCCATTTATTCAGAAAATAATTTTTTTTAAAACTATAGGTACATTCCAGCTGTTATATTATGCGCCGAATACTGTGGATAACATTTTAATGGATCGCACTTAAAAAAAATGACGTCATCTGAAAAAACGCCGAGACTATAGGTACATTCCAGCTGTTATATTATGCGCCGAATACCGTGGATAACATTTTAATGGATGGCACTTAAAAAAAATGACGTCATCTGAAAAAACGCCGAGACTATAGGTACATTCCAGCTGTTATATTATGCGCCGAATACCGTGGATAACATTTTAATGGATCCCACTTAAAAAAAATGACGTGATCTGAAAAAACGCCGAGACTTTGGTTTTAAGTCTATTTTTAAAGTCTATAAAAATGTTTCATGGGAGGGAAAAAAATCAAATTTTGTCGTACTGTGTTATCAATACAATAATAATTATGTAATGTTTTAGTGAGAAAAGTAAAATGTATTTTTACACAAAAAATGCGAAATTAAAGTTAAATAATGAATATAATAATTATTACAATTATTGTTTTTATAAAAAAAAATGGTTGGGTCCGTTCATAAGGTACTAAAAATAAATAAATTTTTTCTTATAAAATTCAAATGTGCCAGCAACTCAGCAAAGATGTCTACCACAGAAGAATCCAGTTTTGTGAGGAAATGACGCAAATAATTGCTCCAAATTTATTAAAAAATATTTCTTTCAGCGATTAATCTACTTTTTCATCATACTCAGTATCCTCAAAAAATCAATGTATGGGCTGGTATTCTTGGCAATGAAATAACTGAACCCCTTTTTATCGAAGATAAATTCATTGGTAGAAGAGGTGCTGGCAGATTTTTTTCTTTGGGGTCATTTCAATACACAAGTATACAAAACACCACCTTAGAATATTCAAGAACTCAAACGAAGAATAATTCAAGAATGTAGGCAGATAACTCCTGAAACGTTTCAAAAAGTTCGACAAGAGTTTTAGAACAGATTGTAAAAATGTTTAGCAAATAACGGAGCACATTTTGAACATTTAAAATATTTTTTTATGGAATTCTTTGTTTTATTTATATCTCACCTTGTTTGGCTCTAACTTGCAAATCCGTGATCCGATTTAAATTTTTTTAACTTCAATTGATCAGAAATTAAAATTTAATTTACTTTAAAATGATGTTTCTCAAGGTATAGGGTGACTTTTAAAATTTTTTAGTAAGGGTAGATGAAGGTGAGAGTATGCAACATAAAATTTGTTTTACACTGGATTTGTACTTCCCCATCGATATCTAAATCGACCTGATTTTGCTCAAGATCATAATATGATAAAATTAATAAATATTATTTACAATAACTCAAAAGTTATTAAGGGTGGCTAGTTTTTAATTAAAAGCCCTGTAGTATAAATTTATATAATTATATAATTCATTAATTAACTCTGAATAGTTTCAAGTGGTTTTTAGTTACGACACTTTGATGAAATGTAAAGCAATTGCTTGAGAATCTCAGAGCTGGGCACTAGTACTAAAAAAATAATTCGTAAAATTTTAAGTACTTAAAAATATTTACTCGTAAGTACTTTACTCGTAAGCATATTTGTAATGAGAGGTTACGGTTACGAGTAGTAATCGTGAAAACACGAGTAAAAAGTACGAGTACTTTTGAAAAAAAAATTTTAGTTAATATAATTGATTATTTTTTTACATTACACCTACCTATATAATATATTATGTAGGTACATAAATATACCTATATGTACATAAAATAATAAATAAAAGTAACAATTCCTAAATAGTTTATAATTTTACCTATTTTGGCAAAAAGTCATCGATATTATAAACGGAAATACTCGTATATATTACTCGTGAATTACACGAGTATTTTTTAGTACATTGAATTTGGTTTGTAAGTACGAGTTATAAGTATTTCAAATGAAAAATGCTTATGAGTAAAAAAGTGCTCGTACTTTTATACTCGTAATTGAAATACGTGTAAAAGTACTCAATATTTGGCCAGCTCTGCTTAAGATTATAAAATATACATAAATTAAAACTTGCATTCCTGCCATGCATGAAACAACCTACCTTATCAGATACGTCATTGCTCATAGAATTGACCTCATCACTGGCTTCATTCATATTATCCTGGACGGCATCTTTAACATTGTCAGCTTCTGATAGCAACACAGTTTCAGCTTCGGAAATGTCTTCGGCAACAGCGTCCACAGCGTTGGTAGCTTCAGATTTGACGGATTCATTTATGTGGTTCATTTGATCTTTGGCGTTCGATGTTGCAAAATTAAATGTTTCCCCGATTTTGCCCATAGCGTTGCTCACACTGTTCTCTGCTGTGTTAAAAGCGGATGTCATCGTGTCCTTAACAGTTTCCATGCCGTCTTTGGCAGCATCTTCCACGTCTAAAATTAAAAAAAAAAATCTTATCTAATTAATACCTTTCTCCAAATGAAAATCGGTAAATAAATAGATGAAAAAATAAACATTAAGATAGCCATGAAAAAAAATCAGGATATAAATCAGGCCATGAATAAGAAAATTACAAGAAAAACTCTTGCGTATTAAAAGTTTATATTACTTTCTAAAAATAAAATAGTCAAAATTCTACTATTTGAATTAGTACCAGCATTTTTTACTAATAAAATAGTCGTTTTCACTTTTAAAAAGTTATTTTTTACTACGTAAATAGTCGTAAATAGTTTGACTAATTTAAGATTAGTCACCATCTTTGACTATTTCTTTAATCCTTTGCGGCCAACAACAAAGTATTATTTGAATTAAATGCATATACCTACATGGTTAAATGACCCATAAAAACAAATAAAGATGCAAAAAACTTAGCTCAAAACAGCAACACAAATAATATATTCAACTTTAAAATATTATAAACAATATTTATTGTCAAATAAAATTGATTTTTATAAAGTACATTTTTTTATCTGGACTGCGGCAACGTTCCAAATTTAGGGTTTTGGTTGGTAAATACAGTTGTCAAGTTGGTCGCATTGATTAAAACAAACTAACTAGTTATAAATCTAATTGTGGTTATGTATAAATTATTGTAGGTTACATTGTGCAGTTGTCAAGTTAAGTTGTCGAAATTCGTAGTTAAAAATGCAATTAATTTGACTTTGGTGGTGCTTGGATGAGTAAAATCATATAAAAAAAGTAGTTAAATATAGGTTGCTTTACGGCCCAGAAGAGAAAGTATTCCTAGCGTATAATAATCTTCGCTTTGAAAAGAATTTATAAAAAGAAGTTAAAATTTTTTGTGAACGTAAATGTTGAATAATGTGAAAAAATGTCCATAAGGCGATGTACTTTTTTTTCCATTGTGGCATTTGGCATAATTTCATCAAAATGAAGTTTTGCCCTCAAAAGGCCTTTTACATTTTTTGGCATAATTATGTTTTTATTTATAATTGACAAGTAAATTATCGTAAGTAATATCATAAGGGCATCTAATTTTTCCGAAAAAAATCGAAAAAACACGTTGCTAAGTAATATTTTAACAAAAAGCATGAGTGCTGGTGGCAACAAAAATCCGAGTCGAAGAGGAGGATTTTTGCACCTGCACGAATGCATTTTGTTAAAAAATATTACTTAGCATTGTGTTTTTTCGATTTTTTTCACAGGAAAAATTTGATCCCGAATGGTATTTGACAAGACTATTTCATGAGTAACAGTTAACAATTAAAATATAAATTGCAATTTTTGGTGACAGCAGCTGTCAAGTTTTGCCGCGGGTAAACTCGAATAAACTGCTGAAAGGTGCTGTCACACAGTTTTTTCACCTAGAAACCATTTGTAATTCAAAATTGCGCGTTTGTGATTGGTGGAAATTAAGACGAGGGAAATAGTCAATAATAAATATAATTGTCAATTTGACAGTGTCAAAGTATTTAATTAAATTCTTTAGCAGAAGTAACATTTTTAAATACTAAAAATACTAAGTCAAACTGGCATAAGCCACCAACCTAACAAAAAAACACCAGTCCAGATAAAAAAAATGAACTGTAAGAGCGGCTGATAGCCGAATGGGTTATGACAACAGCTTGACAAGCTTGACAAGTGACATACCTGAGTTCAATCCCTGGCTGGATCAAATTTTTTTTTTTAATATGACAATTAGTCAAATATGACTTATAATTAGTTATTTTTGACTAATTCCTTTTAAGAGAGTAAGTTATACCTCAATTAATATAAACTAATTTTAATGTGAAGGAGTAAAATATCTTAAACTGTTCGGAACTGGGGCTTAATTATATTAGTTTGAAACACCCTGTATAGTAATATGAATAGTATACTTATAATAAAGTACTATAGGTACTATTAGTATACTATTCATATTACTATTCAGGGTGTTACAAACTAATTTAGTCAGTCCCCATGGGGACTGACTAAATTAGTTTGAACTGCAGTTCCGAACTGTTTAAGATATTTTAAAACTATTAAAAAAAAATGGAGCATTATAAAAATTTCTAAATTTTGATTAAAAAAAGTACATTATACAGGGTGTTTCACCTAAATAATTTATTAGAGAACTAAAAGAGAAATCAATTGGAAATGTTTATTGCAGCTATAGCGCAATGTAAATTATTTTTTCTAAAATATTTTTAATGTTAATGTCACTTCCAGTTCAACCGGAAGTGATATTTTAGAAAAATAGATCACATCGCGCTATAGCAGCAACCAAAATTTCAGATGGATTTTTCTTTTGTTTTTCTATAAACCTCTAAAGAATAAGTTAAGTGAAACGTAAATTTAATGGATTATCTAAAAATCCTGAAAAATTAGGAGTTTAATTTTGATTTTCATTTTAAATATGTTAATCGACCTGCTATATCTTTAGTTTTTAGATTATTCAGATAATATTTTTACTGGTAAAAATTTACTTACATCCAATAATATTTACGTCGTAAAAATTTAATGTTTGTATACATAAATAATTGTCCAAATAAATATTTAAACAGCAAATATACGGTCGTAACGTGTTGGGTATTAAATGGAAAATCACTTGCGTGATTTTCAAATATCAACTTTTAATTGAACACGAACTTGCAGAAGTAAAATTAATTTCACTGATAATTGTGATTTACAATTTAATTAACAAAAATATACATTTCTTTAATTAATTTAAAAGGAGCTATATTTAGCACTTTACATAAGTAATACTTATTAAGTATACTGTCTTAATAATATAATTTTATGAACATATAAAAGTACTTAATTAATTTAAAGATTATAATCTTTTTTGTAGTTTCAACTTTAACCAAATTTGATAAAGATCATGGCACAAAAATATACTGACCTATTTTAATGTTGCCATACACTTAAAAGCAAGAAGGGTGTAATAAAGTAAAAAAATATAGAGTACAAAATTCACATTAATCACTTTGATCAAGACAAATTGTTTTTTTTTTGCAGTGTTTATTTTTATTTCTTTTCTTAACAATATAAGGTATGTGTACACACATGCGCGCCCATACCTATTGGCAAGGGGGGTACTTGCCCTCAACCCAACTTTAGTTGCAAAATATATTGGTACGTAATGTAACCATATTTACTATTAAGAAAATTTGCATGTTTTATTTTCGTAATAAATTCATTTAACTTAATTTTAAATGTTACTTTTGAACGAGAAAGAATATTGCCAAAAAGTACTATTACTAGCAGTAGCGTGCAAAGGTGATCGGGGGCCCCCCCGCAAATTTTGAGCTGGGGCCCCTTTGTCACTTAAACCACCCAATGTGGTTCTCTACGGGGCCCCCCTAAGGTCGGGCCCCCCCGCACCGCGGACCCTGCGGGGCCCGTCCTGCACGCCACTGATTACTAGTAACTACTACCGGTCTGCCTTGTGATTGAATTAATTAATATCTGTACTCCAGAGCCAAACTGTATTTTGTAGTATAAGTGTTTATAGTATAAGTGTTTTCATTGTTTACTTTGTCTGTGGCAGCCGCTAAGGTTAGACGTGTTTTGTGAGCTCGGCGATTTTTCGTTTGTTAAACGAAATGGATCAAAGAATGTGTATCCAATTTTGCTTAAAAAATTAAATAAATTCTGTAAAATGTTAACAAAGGCCTATAGTGAGTCTGCTATAAGTAAAACAAGAGTTTACAAGTGGTATAAGTGGTATAAGAGATGACGAACGCCCCGAATGCCCAAGCACATTAACAACCGATAAAAACATGAAAAAAGTGGAAGAAATGGTTATAAGTCACTGATGATGTTGGTATATTGATTGGCTCATCCCATGAAATTTTTTCGAATGTTTTGGGTATGAAACGCGTGGCAGCAAAATTTGTTCTAAAATTGTTAAATTTTGAACAAATTTTTTGGCCAAAAACAATACTGTAATAATGCCACAGCCTCCATATTCGCCAGACATGCCTCTGTCTGACTTTTTTCTATTCCCAAAAATAAATAGAACCTTAAAGGGCCGTCGTTTTGCAAGCATAGATGACATTAAAAGCGCAACGCTGAAAGAACTAAAGGCTATCCCAAAGATCGAGTTTTATAAGTGTTTCGAGTATTAGAAGAAGAGCTGGCACATGTGCATAATATCCAATGATGACTATTTTAAAGGCGACAGCATTAATGTAGACTAATAAATAAATATTTTTTTTAAAAATCGAAAATTCCCGATATTTTCTGAACACACCTCGTATATGTATATATATATATACTTTCATAATTTTTGAAGGTATTTTCGGATTCAGGGTACAATTTTAGATAGAAATTGACTACTAAATCTCCTGGATAAAAATTTCTGTTGACGAGAATTAGCTTTTTGCTATGACAATCAGTCATTTTAGGAGAGTAAGGTTAGTAGTACATATATATATATATTCTTCACTATAGTGAAATATTAATAATGACTATAGTTTTCATATATCACTACTTAATTCATTTTTAGAGAGTATAATTTATTTTTTTAGTTTAATTAGGATTTATAGCTACATTACCAATAACAAATAGGTTATTGGTATTTGACTTAAAATAATATTTACGAATTTAAATGTTTGAATATCGAATAAATTAGAGCTAATTATGAAAAATGCTCATTTTTTGAATCGGCGCATGCAAATTAAGTTAATTTATTTAACCCATAAAAGATGTTGGCCACCCTGCAGCAAACAAGTTTTATTTTGCCGGCCTGTGTTGTCATGGTTTTGTCCTCCGTGAAAATTTTTATATGGGCGCCCATGTATATACATACGTGTATTAGTAAATTAGAGATAAATAAAAAACATCGAACACGCAATATTTGTTTAATAAAAAAAAAATATTTTTATTTTAATAGATACCTACGTTTTTTTTTAAATTGTTATATTTTAATTTTATTAATTCCATTGTTATTCAGTTGTTTTTTATAAAGTCGTAAGTCATAAAAAGTCTATACGCCTTAAATCCCATGACATTGGTGGTCAGTTAACATCCCCACCACGTGAAATTGCGAAATCTTTTTTTTCTTAAAACACAATAATTGTCAACCGTCATATTAAATGAAACAAAAAGTTACTAATATTTATACTATCTAAACATTATAGTCTGCAGCAGTGCATCGATTTACTGGCAATATCTGACCGCGGTCAATCAATACTCGTATTGATTTAAATTTGTTACTAAACATCGAAGTGTTTTAACAACTTGTATGTGCTGTGGAATCGTGTAATTCACACACACAATGTAGGTTGTCCGCCCTAACATTTAATAGTGTTTTTTTTTAAATTTAAATTTCATATATAAATGTGTGTTTTTTTATATTTAAATTTAAATATTATTTATTTTATTGTTTTTGTCCATCCATATTTTTTTAAATTACAATTAAAATCTTTACTTTACTAAAAACATTCATAAACTCATTCTTTATCATTATAGTTTCAAAATATTTAAACCGGATTAAATTAATGTTTATTTCATAGATCTTTTTAATTTAATAGGTAATTCATTGTTCGAATTGAAAATGTGTTTTTGGATAAAAATAAGAATGCAATATTAACTTTTTACCAAGTTTAAATAAAAATCATTAAATCATCAATATGCCTACTTTTAAATTATGGGCTAAAAATAACCCTTATATGAAATACTTTTTCTACTTCCACCTTTAAAACGCCCTTTATCGTACATGTTTCCATCACACTAAGTGACCTTTTAAATACACATTGACAAGTTGTGGCTTTACGGCGCTTTAGTCACGGGCTGAAGTTAGCAACAGGTTTTTAGTCACGGGCTGAAGTTAGTTTTAAGTTGACAGTTGTCAAATGTCATACAATCGTTAAAATAAAGTGCCTTTCTTGTAAAATAATACTAAATGTGAAAATTATTTTATTATCTGAATACAAAAATACAAAAAAATTAAATAGTTTCTCAACGCCAATATTTGAAAAGTTTATATGAACATGGTACTGACCTTTTAATTTCGCCGGCAATAAACTATAACTTAAATTCGGGCACGGACTCTACTGTAAAGTCCTCATAAAACATTTCCTTTACTTTCACTGTGAAAAACTGTCAATTTTCAATATACATTTCGATTTATAACCTTTATAATTGTGTTTATAAAATGTAAAAATGTGACATTTGACAGTTTCCCCTGTTGTTTCATAGATGGCGGTCTATACAAATTTTTGATTTAAATCATTTTAAGATAATAAAAATTATTTGTCGTAGAAAAAGTATAGTATGCACCTCGTTTATAAACTTTTCTATACACTCATTAACTTAAGCACTCGCTCGCAAGCTCGCTCATGCCTAAATTAAATTCGTGTATAAAATGGCGTTTATCAAACTTGATACATAATATACTATTATAAATAATAATATTTTGAAAACGATTTTAAAAAGTATAATTTTTTGTAAATATTGTGACTCTTTTTTGAATAAATAATAAACATTTAAAAAGTAAATTATATCCAAATTAAAAATCATAAGGGACGTTCCATAAAAATGCGGACATGATGAGGAAAATCCCAAATTAATGTATACATGTATGCATGGCATAGTAGGCTGTGCATTTTGTTTCTAAGCAACTACTTTATTTTATTTATTTGTTTTACAAATTAAATTTAAAAATTGTCAATTTGGCAAGCATCATAACTTAGTCCTATATTTTTTTAACATTGCTATGTCAAAAGGTATCAAGCTTAATGTAACTCGAGTTACCAAACTTTTTGGCGTTTATTTTTTAAAGCAAGAAAAAACATTAATATTTAAAATAAATTTCATGATCTATTTTTTATTTAAGAGTCGTTTTATTGTTAAATACGCAGATATAATAAGAAGTCTATGAATTTTATTTTCTAAAAATAACAATCTAAAATCATTCTGTTTATTATGATATTAATTTAACAAGTTTTAAAATAAAATTGTTGATGTTTCTTAAACTTTTTGAATTAAGTATTGTCGTTTTACTGCCAAAAATTATATCTGATTGTATGGCGAGTTACCATGGAATGTCCCATAATACAAATTGGTAAATTAAAAAAAACATTTAACTACAATCTTTTTCGATCTTTGCAGTGCAGTTTTACACCAAATTGTTCTTTTATAGCTGCATAAACTTGCATATGGAAAAGTTATGAATATTTATTTGTCGCGCAGCAAGGTTAAATCTCGGTAGCAGTGCTACTGTAGCAAGTAGGTACTTACCGAAAGGTTTACGAAAAATGTAAAAACACATTAAAAAAATAATAATAAAAAAGTTATATAATTAAAACACACCTGAAAATTTAAAAACGCATCAAAAAATTTAAACAATTATGCGTAATAAGTCTAATTTAACAGTTAAAAAGAGAAAAATAAATAATTTTGACTATAGTTTTTATTAAAATGTCGACTTTGTAATCTTAAATTGTAAGGGAATATATTAATTGTATAATTTTTCAAAATAAAAATCCCACAGGTATTGATATTTATTCGACTGCTTAAATGTTATAATGATGGACATAAAGGACACGAATTCCCAAAACATAAATTAATGTGAAAATCAATGGTGCAACTAAGTAAAGCATTTTGCCCGGGGAGAAAAAAAAATCGAAAAATTTCACTGGCATTTTAAATTTACTTTAGCAGCATTAATATATTGAGTTTGACTAAAAAATTAAATAAGTTAAAAATATTAGTTTCTGGGAAGTCGCTGCAAATTGTCTATTTAGGTATTGTTTAAAACTAGTATATATACTACAAAATGATTTTTCAATCATTCCCATAATCCATATAAGTCTTCCCAAAATAAATAAGTAAACTTCTTAGTCTTGGCCTTTTTATGGAGGGCATAGCCCCCCAATTAGGTCTTCAGCCCCCCAATGACATGCACTACTTGTTTTTTATTATAAGTGTCTTTCGGTTCGCTTTTTTAATGGTAAATGTAATGTAATGTAATTGCATATAATAAAATTATTTTTTTCATTACAACGTGCACAAACAATATAATATATTATGAAATAAATTTTAAAATATATAACGTTCGTAAAGTGTTAACAAAAATTTCGCATGCGGTAGGCTTTTTTTCCCACGCCCATAATATAGGGCTTAGCCCCCCAATGTTACATCCCTATGTTACATACACTGAAAAAAAATATTCTTGATTCAAAACAATCTTTGTCTCATATATAACGAAGAGAATATATTCTTTAAAATAGTAAAGTATTTTCTTAATTCACGTTGATTTACTTCAAGAATCTTTTCTTAATGTAAGAACATTAAGAAAATATTCTTGAAGTAAATCAACGTGAATTAAGAAAATACTTTACTATTTTAAAGAATATATTCTCTTCGTTATATATGAGACAAAGATTGTTTTGAATCAAGAATATTTTTTTTCAGTGTAGCTGTAGCTATGCCACTGGTCTACTATAGTTTGGGGGTGTGACGCCCCTCTACACCCCCTCGCTACGTCCCTGTATCCACATAATTATATTAAATAAAAAAAAAGTTTTTTAAATGTTTTCATTACTTTCAAAAAATCCAAAATAAATTAATTGAAAACTGTAGTTTTGACCGATTTAAGTTTTTATGTCCCTTGATGTAGTACCTACTTTTAAAGATTTAACTCGTACAGACTGTACATACAAATTTATTTAAGGAAAAATATCGATGCCAATATTAAAAACTAAAGAAGCATTTTTTTCAATCAACAAAGATTATAACTAATTTTTAGATAATTAAACCTTTTTATTGCCAAAATAACATAAAATTTGTGATGATAGAGAAATGTAGGTAGATAACCTTTAGCTTTTATTAACAATTTACAATAGTCAATCAATAGTTTATTACTCATACCAACTATGGATTATTTTTGATTGTACTGAATAGTTTTATAAAAAAAATGATAATATTTTAATAAAAGGTTATTTTTACTCGCATCGTTTGGTAATTTAAAAGCTGGATATCTAAACACGAAATGTCTATAAACCAATTAAAAAATTAAGTTGTAAATAACTATTTTTTATATGAAAAAGTGTCGTTGACTCAGTGTGGGTCATTGTGGGTCGTAGTTTACCTTGACAATAAATTTATAGCGTGCTACGTTTTAATTAACGATTGCTGGTTAAAACTGCGTGTACACGCCAAATAAATTTATCTGATCATTTTTAAAAAGATCGGCTGGTTGTTGTGACCAATCATGAAACTTAAAGGCTTTTCTTTATGTCTGCTTGAAGGAAAAGGGTTTAAAAGTGGTGGACATTTTTCGGAGAATCAGAAGGAATAGATTTTAGGGATGCAATGACCTGAAAATTGTTAATATATTCTCGTAAAAATATAAAATATCGCATGATTAGGACTTTGATAGAAATATTATTAATGCAAATTATATTTTCTTAGAATTATTTTGGCAAAAGAATACAATGGCTTGGATGTTAATTATGTATTCTGCATTTTTAAAGTAACATTAATGTACCTCATGATAAATTAGTTTGTTTGATAATAATTGCCTGATAAATATATAGTTTTGAATGTTAATTTAAGTTTTATTTTTCTGTAAAAAAACGAAATACTAATTTTTACTAGTAAAAAAGATTAATTACATTAATAAAAGTTTTGGTTTTTAAATAACGTTAATAATAAGCAAATTTTTCTGAAGGTACTCCCAAAAATTCAGATTTTTTAATTAATTTTTAATCTGATCCCCGACCACTTTTAATAAAACAATTAGAACAAATCCTAAAAAAGTGGGAAAAACTTACTTTTTGCTATTCGGAAGGTACTCCCAAAAATTCAAATTTGTAAATTAATTTATAACCTGAGCCCCGACCACTTTTAAAAAAAAATAATAGAACAAATCCTAAAAAGGGAGAAAAAGTCTTAATTTTTATAATTTTTTTTTAAACAAGGTTTTTTCTTACTTTTTTAGTCTTCTAAATGAACTTTCAAAGTTTTAAATTAATTTTTAACCTGAGCCCCGACCACTTAAAAAAAAATTAACGGCACGCGAGAAAATTAAAATTATTGGTGGTCTTTTATTAAACAATTAAAACGTTTATTTTCTTTTTGAAGATTGAGATTTTGACTTTTTAATTAATTTTAATTTTTTTTTTGGGTAAAAATTTTTTAAAAATATTAAGGAAACGCATTAAGTGAAATACTACATATCAGGTCTAATATCAAACCCAGCAAAATCCATGCATTTGAGTAACATTGTTAGAAATTTTTTGTAAGTGAAAAAAAAAGATATGGGCAATAATATAAGGTATACTTTTTTACTCGTTTATTTTAACTGAAAACGTATTTTCAAAAATTTTTTAATAAATGTGATGGAATTTGGTATAAAAAATATTGGAGTTTGCAGTGTTTGATATAAGACTCCTGCTGCATTAATATGTAGAAGTCGATGTAGCGTGGTATAACCCATATAAGAAATCTTGAAATTTACGTTAATTTAAATGGTTATTTAAATTATACGCGAAAGTTACTGTCCCTAATCCACATTATTAAAGAATTTTCCTGTTTTTTTTTATAGTTTTATATAATTAAAAGTTATAGTATCCAACAAAGAAAACTTTTTTAGAGTCTGATCCCCACGAATTTTTTAAAATTTTTTCTCAAAAAAAATTAACGAAAAAGTTAAAAAAATATTGTCAAAACTTAAAAAATTATTACCACAAAATTACTTAATATAAAGATGTATA